AACACCGCTGTCCTGCTGCAAGTAGTGAAATATTCAGCTGAAAACGGGAATCGAGCAGCAGAAAGAAAGTTTAGAGTATATATTAGTTGGCTCAGTGTTTGACCCAATTGGTTGATCCAAGGTAAACTTCAATATGGTAAGATAACACTATTCGTAAAACAATAGTGTGGAAACAGTTACAACTTTTTTGTGTTTTTATGTTTGGTAACGTCTCTGACATGCAATCTAAGAATTTTTGTTTCTTGCCATCGCATCCTGCAGACACTATTTGGCTGTTTTGGCTTGTTTATCTAAGACATCTAACAATTTTTTTTGTTTCTTTTTTTATTATTATTGTATTTTACAGTACTAGTATTCATGCTGACACTGCCTGTTTAAATAAATATTTCTGTGAGTTATATCCTTTGTAAATAGTTTATTGATAATTTAGCATAGGTTTAAACACTTCACGATAGCCCACAGAACAACTTTAATTTTATTTGCAGTGAATATTGAGATTTTAGATATTCTAAAGTGCCGAGCCACTGTATTTTACCTGTCTACAGTAAAAATTTTAAGTAACCCAAGAATGTTGCTGTAAATAAAAATAATCACTGAAATATACTGCATTTTATTTTGACTGTAATAGGCTGTGAAATTGGTCAACAGTATGAATACTGTAAAATAACAATAAAGTGCTGGCATCTCTGCTGCGAGTACTTTACTGTAAACTAAAAAAATACAGAAATATACTGCAATTCACTATTACAGCAATAAATTGTGAAGTGATTTCAGAGTACATTGCTGTAAGATAACGGTGAAGTGCTGGCGTCTCTGCTGCCAACACTTTACCGTTATTTTACAAAGAAATTCTTTACAGGTAATTGTCATTTGATTCAAAAAGTTCTGTGAGTCGTTAGGACAGTTTATTGAATTCATCTCTCTTCTTGTACCATACTGTCCAAATTTCTTATGACCAGGTTAGCTTGTCTTGTGAAGAGGCTTTTTGCAATAGAGCGCTCTTTTTTGAGCTGTTTGATTGATTTGTCTTTAGCCATGTTTCCTCTTATGTCCTCTTTAGCACTTGGATTAACCTTTTTACTTTTTCCACTTTGTGCTTGCATGCTCAGTTTTCGACTGTCAAGTTGAGAAATGAAGGAACCAACTTGAAAAACCAGGAAAACAGAGACAAGGCTCAACTCAGCTTGAAGATTTTTATTGAAATTCAGTTCAGTTTCTACAGCAGTAGTAGTAGGAGTAGTAGTAGCATTTATAGCAGTAGCAAAACCTTTAAAGTAAACAAATATGCGTAATAATGAAATAAAATTTACATTTTCATTTTAATCTATTTACATTTTAATATACTTGTTATAATATTTATTAATATACCTTACAGATTAACTTAAATAGCTACAATTTTAAGCAATGTATCATTTTACCAAATAATTTTTAATCTTAAATATAATTAATTTTTTATACCATTTTAAATGACTAGTTATATGAAATGAATGTAATATATTATTTAAAGTCAAACTTTAATGAATTAACAATATATATATTTAAACAATCAAATTCCAGTTATCAAGTGTATGATTCAGTTACACAATTTAGCTTTCAACATTTTAAGAACTTCTTTGAATTTATTTATTAATCTACTTTTTAACTTAAATTTGGACATTTCATAAAATAACTCACCCAATTGCATTTCACTTTAAAGGGATAGTTTGGGATTTTTGACATAAATCTGTATGGCATCCCCGTGAGCAGTGTCGTGCATCAACACTGACTTACCCCCGACAGCGTCCGGTGAGCCGAGATACTGGCCATTTTCGGTGCTGACGAAAGTAGTCCGGCAAGTTGGGTGGGGACTGTATAATAAAGCGTTTTTCTTCTCAAAACAATCTGTGTTCAAAAGAGTGATACATTTGCATCACAAAACCATCGTCGCCAAAAAAGTCAGACCTCATTATCGCTTGGCACTATTTTCTTTCCGTTTGTATCACTGCGCGCTGCCGCCAGGTGATAGCCGCGCACGAATACATCACTTTCTGCAGTTGTTCGGCAGTGTTTACATGCGCAGACCGCCGTAACGCGAGAGAGGTAACGTGAGAGCTAGAGCCATAAGTATATAAACCTGGTTCACTTTGTTTACTGCTCGGAATGTTAGCGACAACATGTCTGATTATGACACCGACAATAAAGACTTTGCCTTTACCACAAAGCCAAGGGGAGATCTTTATGAACCCGAATATACTGATGCCGAATTTCGCCAGATGGAGTTAGAACGAGCAGAGAGAGAGAAGAGAGACTGAAGTGGTACAAGTTGAAGCTGGAGCCGTGAGAGACCGAGTGAGCGACAGTCACCATCACGTCATTTATAAACTTGTATACAGCGAACATAGAGCCTATACTGTGGCTGAAGCATGGACGGCTAATAGAAACATGGAATCATCCACACGTCCACATAGCTGCTGCCAATAATGTACGCGACATTTACAATAGTAATAACAGTCGACTTATAAAGTTACGTTTTGTAGAAGCTTCACTGGTGATATGACACTGAGTGATTTACTGCACACAGCTTTAGTAGCTGATTCTTGAGCCTGTTCTCTTGTAAACATAGCGGCACTTCTTCGTTCTTACCTGGTTTGGTTTCCACATTGAAGCTAATGTGGTGATACGAACGGAAAGAAAATAGTGCCAAGCGATAATGAGGTCTGACTTTTTAGGCGACACTGGTTTTGTGATGCAAATGTCTCACTCTTTTGAACACAGATTGTTTTGAGAAGAAAAACGCTTTATTATACAGTCCCCACCCAACTTGCCGGACTACTTTCGTCAGCACCGAAAATGGCCAGTATCTCGGCTCACCGGACGCTGTCGGGGGTAAGTCAGTGTTGATGCACGACACTGCTCACGGGGATGACAAACAGATTTATGTAAAAAATCCCAAACTATCCCTTTAACTAAGGCTTCTTATTGTACTCCTTAAATTAGGGTGACCAAATGCCTGTTTTTCCCCGGACATGTACGTTTTTTACGTCCTGTCCTGGCCGTCTGTTTTTTTTTTTTTTTTTATGAAGTGATGCAAATGTCCAGGTTTTCATGATCTTTCATTGGGCCATTAAATTGAGTGGCTCTCGTAGCTCTCTGTAACTCAGAAGGAGCGAGCAGACAAAAATGGTCGGGACAAGTGGGAGGCCATGTGCACAGTGTACAAAGCAGGCACATATGTTTTGGTGTCCAGTCCCTGACACCGCCTCTCAGGGACCTCAAAGCTCACTAGGACACTGAAAAACATTAAAAAGCTTTGCCAGCTGAGAGTAGTTTAATGTCGATGATGAGGCCCCAGCTCCCACCCCCTGTACGGTGTCCTGGTTTTGACAAACAGAAATATGGTCACCCTAACTTAATTTAACAGAATGTTCATTTTACATAATTAAACAGATTATTTTTTACATGGGTTTTACCACCATTTTTCTATTTTAACTATACTTATAAACTAATTTACCAGGTAAATCTACTCAGCGGTAGTGTCTCTGTGTTTCCCTTCATATTCCTGGTTTGGTTTGCCTGTCTGAGCACCTGGGCCTAATTAAATGATTGCAGAGAGACCCCGGCTTACCTGTATTTTCTGGCACCATCTACGGGCCAGGCTAGGAATAAACTAATAAACTGATAAAAAGGGGAAGGAGAGGAGAGGTGAATGGGCTCAGGAGTGGAGGTGAAGACGAGGAGCAGAGGGCCTGGGCTTTATGACTTGACACCAACCTTAACCCAAAGTAATGTGAACAATTTCCCTTAATATCCTTAAATTAATCCAAACGTTTTGTTTGATTTTACTCCCACAGAAGGCATTTTTTTATGATTCAGCATCTTCTGATCTTTTGTACTTTCTTGTATCTTTTTTCTTGGTTCTGAACAATGCAGGTAGATTGAATGCATTTTTTTCAAGCCCTTCTCTTCTACTTTAATATTTACAAATCACTATAGTTATTAAAATTATACACTGGTCATGTTCACATGCACACTGAAGTTTGATTATGTGATTTCTGGATCTTAAAGATTATTTACACACCCTGCAAACTTCAAATTCAGATGGGAGTAATCAGAGGGACCATGATTAGGAAGAAATCTGATGAATTTGCTGTTCACTTGTCCTTTTATTAATCTTATATTATGTTTGTTTCATATAATTAGGTACAATTATACGCAAATAGGGTTGTCAAATGTATCAAAAACAAAAACATACTAATTGACACTAAAATTAGTATTGAAAATTAAATACTCATTTGAGAAGATATCAATACTAAAAAAGTCACATTTGCAGGACAGTAATGAACCTTTCCTGAATAGTTTTAGAATGATCTTGAGCTGTATCAGAATAAGTATAATAGCACATAGACTAGTATACGCTCATGAGGCACTATGGACCCGATTACAAAGTGTCGAATGGAGATGGAAGCATGGCCGTGATCACTTCCTATTTGGAACGCAGCGACAAGCACCTTAGCTACGTCCATTTATAGTTTGTGGTTTCAACAAGGAAATTTCTTGGTGATGTTATGACTGATAATAACTAATTATTAGAAGAATCATAAAATCTTTTTTTCTCATTTTTTTACACACAAATCTAGCATTTTGTTGTGGTATACATGTGTTTGTTTGGCAGGGCAGAACGTTCATAGGTCCTCACTGACAACACATTTCAATCTGTCTTCTGTCAAGTTAGTTCCAAATTAACTGCTAAAATAATCTGTACATTTCAGAGTGTGTTTGTAGAGGTCTAAACTTCGAAGTTATCAATATTTAATTTTATTTTTTGGCAGAGGACAGTCTATTAAAATCCAACCTAGTGATTTGATAAGCGCACCATTGGTCCGTTTAGATGACAGCTTTGATGTAGTTGTGTTTTGGTGATATTTTTATAAATTCATCGGTGCTTGTTATTCTTGTTAAGGCCCACAGTAAATCCTAAAGATATTTTTTTTAGACTAACAGTCAAAAATCATGACTTAAAATGTGTTTTTTCCTTTTAATAAAAAGTATATGTATTTTTCTGTCAGAGGGAGAATCTTAGACTTAAATTTACTGAGAGTTAGACAAACTTTATTGATCCACAAGGAAAATTATTTGGGCACAGTAGCTCGCACATCACAATATATAATAGTAATAAAGAGCAAAAGCATAAATTGTAATTCAAAATAAGTACCAGTAGCAAAAATAATCACAGTGTTATCGTGATATACAGTCTATCACTATATGGACTATTACATTTGCCAACAGTGCAAAATCTATAGTTTTGCATCATCTTGTGCTGTCATAGTTTACTTTAAATTGGTAGTTTAACTAGTACACCCTTATCAACACAAATTGGAGACTAATTCAAATTGCAATTGTAATTAGCTTTTGTTATATTTAGAGACATACAAGACAACGCTGGTAATTATTTGTAAATGTGATGTACCCTATTCTGCGTTTTTCTAGTTTTTAGCCTTAGTTTATCATTGTGCAAAATTGAAAAAATTACTTTAAAATCCTTCACCTTCACCCATAGTTCTTCATTAATCACCGTATTCTAATAGTGCATTGTGTTTCTTGCATCTGCAGGTGGTGTTTCTAGTTTTCGTCTGAAGGCAGAGCTTGGTATTTGACACTTGATTTCTTGGCTTTGTAGAAGAAGACTCCACAGATCATCCCCACAGCGGCCAGAGCACAGCCAGTGATGAAGACCAGGTTGAGGTTCAAGTTCAGGCCTGTAGAAATATAATTTAAGTTTATAATTTTACTTCCTGATTAGACACATGGTTGATGTGATTTCCCGCTCAGCTCTTAGTCTCATGAACATTATAGCAACTTTCTTACACTGGTTACTGTCACTTTTAACAACCTACTTGCACTGCCCATACTGCCCATAATGTATATTTTGTATTGACTATAAAAGTCTATTTTCCAACTGTTATGTAGCAACCATAAAGTTAACAAAGTCCTAAACTTAAAGGACCATATTACGCCATTTTCTGATCTGTTTTAATATTGTTTCCTCATCACAAACAGACCTGGAGTTGTGTTTTGTTTCATTCACATGTTTAACACACAAACCCTGCATATTTAGGTGGAGTTCTTCTCTCAAACAGAAAACACTTGTGATGTCATGTGGTAATACAGGAAGTGCTCCACTAAGTTTTTAAACTCCATACACCTTCACTAAAATCACTGGGTAATTTCAGCCCTGAATTTGCCAGTTTCTACTGAACTAAAGATAATATGTAGCTGTTAAGATAAAAGGTAGCCGTTGACTAAAAACGATCGCATTATGACATCACAAGGTGAAACAGAACATTTTGGAACTCTGTCATTCTAATGATGCAGGATTACGCAAATGTGTAAAAGAAACAAAACACAACTCCAAGTATGTTTTTGAGGAGGATACAACAAACACTATCCCACCAAACCAAGTAATAATACTTAGAAAAACAGGAAAACCTGTTATATGCATGGACTAATAAAAACACGGAACACGTCTTATTGTCTTTACTACTTTTTTCCACCATTGTACCTGTGTTTTCTGCCTGCACAGATCTCTTGAGGCGCAGTGGGCCCTGGGACACATAGTGGACTCCAGTCTCAATGACGGCCTCTCTCCTGACTCTACTTGGTGCATTGGGCAGACATCCCCGAGAACAGCGAGTGTGTGGGTTTCCAGCTTCACACATCAACACCGAGCAGCTGATGTAGACCTAGAAATGTTCAAGAGTTTGAGAGGTAACTTTAAAGGCTTGAATAGGTGTTGTTGTTTTTTTTACTAGCTTGTGTACAGCATTAGAAAAATACTTTGCAGCTAATGTTATGCTTGAGATAAAGCTAACTAGAGGCACTGTTCTGTCTGAAGTTCTGTTACTCAAGTTGAGCTTTAATTTGAGCTTTGTTTTAACCCAATTTGACCAGAAAGAACTGACTTATCTGGAACTACTGCAGGTAAGCTGATTTTGTCCTGTGAACAAGTCCCTCTCAAATAACATTACAGAAATGAACTAGTTTCACTCTGAAGTTTTTCATGAAGATCAAACATCTGAACAGAATGAACGCTCGATCATGTGACGTCACTGTAAAATGTCGACTGATTCATTCAGCTGAATACCTGGTCATGAAGGCCAATGAACTTGAAGGCCTCAAAGCTGATTTTGAATTGTCTCTTGTGACTTCTTGGATAGACGATCAGTGTTGAGTCTAAGTTGCAGCTGTTTAAAAGTATAAAGACAAAAGTGGAATTAGTTACACAAAATGCCATGTAAGCTTGATATAAGCAGTCCTTCAATATGTTGTCATAATACTAAAATTTAAAACTCATTTTGATACCTGAGAAAACACTCGATATAAAATTCTTTTTAGACAATAGGCTATTAGTAATTAGTAATTTTCTACATAAAATAATAGCATTTCTTTATCTTACTCTAGTTCTGATAAAACTCAAGGTGAAACTGATCATGAAAGGTGAAATTTTATCCAGTTATGTGATTTTTCTTTTCCAATATTTCTCAAAATACTTGTTTAATTGAGTATCTAGTTTTGTACTACTTTTATATTGGTTAGTATCTGATTTTCAATAGTTTTGTCAATCCTAGTTCATAATATCTACAGTTTCACTAAAAGAATCCACTTACCCGTTCTCAATGAGAGTGTAGGGATGGGGGTAGTTGGGGTTGTCATAGGGTGCAGCTCTGCAGGACTCCACAAACAGCTCTGTGTTGTTGACTATAGTTGTGGCTTCGATCTCCATGAAGATGCGATCGCCCACGTCATACTCCAGAGGGTAGAGCCGGGGGTCGATCCTGGAGACAAACCTCTGATCTGGGAAGAACTCAATGCCGTAGGTGAACTTCCCAAAGCCCTTGTCCCACACTGTCACATTCTCCCTGTGAGCGCTGAAGGTGGCGGTCACGTTTCCTCTTTTGGAGTACTGGCAGAAGAACTTGATTTCCAACAGGTGTTTTCTGGTGATGAGGGTAGAGCTATTGTCCACTGTGGTGATCTCATTCTTGAAAAGCAGATTATCGTCATCCTCCTGCAAAGACGGAAATGTGATTAACCCCAAAAATTGTGATAACACTGAACATTACTTGAAAAGTACAATTTCTTATTATACAATCCCAAACTTACTATGTTTTATAATGGAATGAACTATGCCTATAAAGTAATGGCAAATAAATCCAATTTGTTATAAACAAATTCTGAATTTTATTATGATTCCATTGTAGAGGACAATAGGGGTTCTTGTTATATTACATAACTTTTGAAATCATCATGTAGTAAACTGATTGTTTGTCTTGTATAATAGACAGCTGTCATATGTATTTGTGCCCTGTTGAATTGTCTGTTGTAAGCAATGAATCTGAATATAAGATAAATGAAATTTCATTGATTGCTTACGCACTGAATTAATAAAACCACATTACAAATTCAACAAAATTAAAATAATGTTTTAAGTAAATGTTGGGAATGCAATCATATCCATGTAGAAGCAAATGCACTTCAGAGACAAGTTTAAGCTGTTCTGAATTTAAACCTCAGATTGAATGGTTCTTTGATGGTTAAACTCAGATCTATAAATACTTTAATACATCTTACACATTTCTCTCTTTCTTGTTAGTCTTACCTCGATCTGGGTGCCACAGGCGTTGAGGGGCACTCTGGCGACCACGTGGGTGCTGTTGGAGTGGGTTTGGAGGCTGCAGGCTGTGTTACTGGGATCAGACAGACGCAGATCTTGATAATGGAGTGGAGGCAATGTGGCTTTCTCCACCTCCACAATCATGGACGACTCCAGACAGGTGACCACTGTGTTCACTAAAATGAGAAAATAAACAAAAGAGCCATATGTTTAAATGAGAATTGCTGCTTCTATAAGTTGCATTCACATTGTAGAAATTATTTATCCACATAAACCAGGTCAACAAATCTGCAATAAGAGTTAAATTCCACTATTGAATTCTGAGCTGTCGTCCAGCTCAGTTTTGAAATAGAGGAATAATAGAATGTTTTGATGTCATATGAACCAAACCTATTACTATAATCTTTCAGAACTTACCTAGATCTTTTGTAACGTTCACCAGCACACATCTCATCTCAGTTTGGTAAACGGAAGTTCTGATTACATAAAACATAAAACAAATGACTTGAAAATAGTAAACTATGCATATTTATTTTGTATTAATGTTTAAGCCTTTGTAAACAGTTTATCCCTTACCCATTTTTAAATTCAACAGCAAAGCAGATTGGAAAATAGTGTCCGAAGTCTTCAGGAATAGGAGTCCATCTGATGGTGAACTCATCTCCAGTGGTTTTGTGCTTGGTGATATTCAGTGGCCCGGTCATTATAAGGTCGTCAACTCTGTTTTGGTTAAAAATGAATCATTGTTAATATATCAGGTTTAGTTTTAATGTTTTTGCATTTTTGGTTTACTTACTGTGAATAAAGAGCTTCAGCCTTGACTTTTATCTCTACTTCTTTTCCAGCTTCTGCCAGAATGACCTCTCCGTCTCTGGGTGTTGGGGAAACATACTTCGGCAGATAATATCCTTCAGCACAAGTGGGAACAGGTGGGTCCACTGTAATAACACCATAATGTTAGTGTGTTGTGTTTCTGTATTAAAGGCCCTGTACCCGATTTTACCTCCATGTATTTGTGCTAAACCCGTCTGGCCCCTCTACAGAGATATTGCATAAGCAGCTCTTGAGGTCAAAATAAGTCAGCTGAGTGCTGTTTACATCTAAATGGAAAGTACGTTATCGCTTGATAATCAGGAAGTGTGCTTTAGCATGCTAGGTGTTAGCTTTACTGTCATTGCAAAACTCTGCTCCACTCCACTCTGTTGTGAAAAGCGCTTGTTCATGGTGATTAATAATTAGGAGGCTCTGAATGCATAAGATAAATGAGGAGTAACTTTGGACCACTGAAAAGTGTTTAAAATGAACTAGTTCTGTTTTTCACATTTTTATGAGAATAAAAATCAGGTACAGTGCCTTTAATATATAGATCATGACTGTGGCACGACAGTAAATCTACAATGATACTGACCGTAAACAACAAACTGCATAGGCAGCAAACTGAGCGCAGCATTCGAGGATGTAGTAGTTAGTGTAGTAGTAGTGGGTGGTGGAGTCGTAGTAGTGGGGGCAGTAGTAGTTGTAGTCCGCCAGTAGTACCACCATGGCATTGACGTAGTCATGGCAGCAGTAGTAGAAGTGGGGGCAACAGTAGTAGTGGGGGCAACAGTAGTAGTAGTGGGGGCAGTAGTAGTTGTAGTCCGCCAGTAGTACCACCATGGCATTGACGTAGTCATGGCAGCAGTAGTAGAAGTGGGGGCAGCAGTAGTAGTAGTTGTAGTCCGCCAGTAGTACCACCATGGCATTGACGTAGTCATGGCAGCAGTAGTAGAAGTGGGGGCAGCAGTAGTAGTAGTTGTAGTCCGCCAGTAGTACCACCATGGCATTGACGTAGTCATGGCAGCAGTAGTAGAAGTGGGGGCAGCAGTAGTAGTAGTGGGGGCAACAGTAGTAGTAGTGGGGGCAACAGTAGTAGTAGTGGGGAAAGCAGTAGTTGTTACTGCTCTCTTTCTTCGTGCAGTCCTTGCATATTTGTAAGCCTTGGTTCCATCAGAGTAAGAGAGCACAATAGTCTGTCGTGGAAAGTCCTCCACCACCAATTCAAATTCATAGACGGCTTGGTTTCCAGAAGCCAGATAGTGCAGTGTGCATGTAGCCTATGAAAAGATGATAAGCAACGTTCATTCTCAACCTTCCCCCAAATAATGATTGCAGCTTAATTGACTCTTTCATGCGTAAATCTACCGAAAAACTTTGCACCACTTTGTGTTTGTGGTGTCACTTCCTTTAGGCAAATCAAATAGTCTTCCAACTGAAAATCCTGCTGTACCAGATTATTTTTTCAATACTTTGCAGCTAATGCCATCCACATTCCCTGTGGGTGTGCAGCTAACTGGAGGCTCTGCTCTGTCTGAAGCTCTGTTACTTAAATTTGATTTTAAGATGAGCCTTGCTTTAACTCGATCTGACCAGAAAGAGCTGACTTAGTTGGAACTACAACAGCTGAGATGATTTCTGCTCATAAAAAGTCTGTCTCGCATAAACGTTTGCAAGCATTAGCCAGCTGTTTTTCAGTAAGTCACTCTCACCTTTTTTGATGAACATCATTTGCTAATTCTCCAGTATAACTGTTAGTTCAGTAAATGTTTATTTAGATCAGTCATTCATAGGCAGCTCAGGGGTCCTGGGGAGTATCATGGTTATGCTGTTACTTCTGGCCTAACTGCTGTATCATCAGATAATTACCTTTAACCTGTGTAAGTCTGTGTCTGTGATAGAGGTGGGTTTGAAAATATTTATGTAATTGTTTCTTTAATTGTTACATAATGCTCCGATGTTAATTACTTTGATTTCTGTGATTAGTTTACATCTTTTGGGTGACTGTTGGTCTAAACTGTTATATGTTCTCGCTCTGTGACAGTTATTTCAGTTAGTAATAAAATTCAAATGTTCTTATAGATAACCAGATGAAATGATCGGCCAGACAAAAGGATAAATAAACAGAGAGAAAGATACAAGAAAGGGCATTAAAGCTCCTCAAATCCATTCCTGCCTCCATCTTCACTCTCTGACTGGAGTATTATTTGTATGAAGTGTCCCAGCATACAGCACATACGGTCTACAGTCTTAGGATTTCCCAAACAATAATAGTTTATTCCTCTGGACTGGGACTGTTGAGCTTTATTGCAACCTAGCACTGAATGAGGCTTGTTTGAACCTTTACTTCAATTTTGTGAATGGTTATTTTGGTTATTTTGAATTCATCTGTGCATTAACCCTTTAGACTGCATCCCCTGAGGATCTAATAAACGGTGGCTACAACCCTGTGAGAAAATACAAAAGGAAATAGTCAAACATCAAAACAATCAATTTTACTAACCTCATCTACTTGGAATCCCCCATGTCTTTTACAGTTAGCGCATTCTGCAGTGTATTGTTTTCCATATCGACATCGAACAACATCTCTATCAGGGTCAAAGGCCATGGGTTTGTAGGTGCGTCTGCAGTTCTGAGGAACCCTTTAAGAGACAGAAGGAGTATTTAATTACTGTATTATCTATTTTGGTGTCTTCATGCCTATTGCTTTTCCATCTTGAATTTCTGAGGAGACAAAGGCACAAATAATAATCTAATAGAATATAGATATATCTGTATATACTGTAGATATATAGAAAAATATATCAAATTTAAATCATGTGACCAAAATTGTGCATTGATCTGATTATTGTAAATTATTTCAAAATCTTGTCTCGATCTCATGGACCCAATCTCGTGTGTCGTCTCATCTCGTGAAAATTCTGTCTCGTCCCATTTATATATATTTGCATTTATATATATTTATAGTAATACAGATCACCTCTGTGTCTTGGCATCTGTGTAAAAGCTCTTTTTATCCCCCTAAATTCCTGCCAACTGCCCATTATCATTTGTAAAGCTAAACAATGTTAATCTTATATTTACCGTAGAAAAGGGAGAATGGCAGTATCAGGGGAGTTGTTTGGCTTCTTAGTGTCTGATCTTTTGCCCAAATCCATATTTGCCAGTACACTCCATGATGGAGATGTATAATAGGGGTACTCATAAGATCCAACAGCAGCTGTATTCCCTGCAAATACAATTATATTCACTAATCCAACATCTGTATTTATGGTAATGTCTGTTATCATAGACACAAATATCTACACAAATACAAAAAAATGACCTACCTGGTTTGGAAAGGTTTATCACTGTAGAGGACCTTAGTGACAACTGTTTCTGTTTGACACCACGTGTTTGCACGTGGGGGGCCATTGTAACTCCTGTCAATCACACCCAAGTCTATCTGGTCATTGTACCCACAGTTATACCAGTTGCCGTAACAACTTCCATATTGGTACCCACATGAACTGAATGTTGCCTTGTTCCTGAGTTCCACCTGCCAAAAACATTGAATATTTATTTCATGTTGAGTTCGATTATGTTCACTAAAGGATGGCAGTAGCTCTAGTAGTTCTGTAACTCATAAAGGTTGAGGTCATTGTATGTTTGGATGAGACAGTTTCTTGAGAGAACATGTTTGTGAGATTTCATGATTGGGTGGTCGTCATTGGAGTTGTGGAGTCAGACTGCAGTGACTGGATGTACCAGATAAAAGCAGCTTTGAATATTAAGATAAGCACCAAAAAGACCATGTTATAAAGGGCTGACTTGATCTGACATATTACATGCTATGGTCTTATTTAAGATGTAGTACAGTTAGAAGTGTAGATATCTAAGATTGAACTGGATTTCTTTGTGTCAGTAAATTATAATCTTAAAAAGTAGCCTTACCCCAATTCCCCCATTGCTGAGACTTTTGTATCTGTAGTTCACAAGTCCTCCAAAGAAGTGAGATGCAGAGGCCAGTGAGAGCCACAGCAGCTGCAGAACGACCAGTTTAGTGGAGAACATGATGCCCACAGCTCTCTGTTGCTCCTCTGTTGCTCCTCTGTCGCTGTCTCCACCTCAGCATCATTTATACCACTCACCGGATGTATCGTATCAACACCAACAACAATGGGACAGCTGAAAAACAAGTCTAATGGAATCAAGGAAGTAAACCTGGTCAGTTTTACAGTAAGTCTTGGTCAGACGAGTTTCTAAAGTAGGCTGCATGTCAGTTCTTAATTCACGTGTGACTGATGCTTCAGAGAGTTAAACAAACACATACTGTACTTACTTAAGTGTCAAGTTTCATTGTGAAGCATGCTCAGCAACACATAATGAAATGTAGTTAATAACACTAGGTCTGTCACATCATAGTAATCTCATAGTTACTATATCAACTTATCGTTCAATATATGAAAGCGGGAACAGTATTTTTTGGGGGTCAGTATTTATCATGTATACAATTTCTTTGCACTACTGGGAAATTTGTGGTTATTTTTTGGCTATACGTCAAGATTAAAGCTGTAAATGGTTGAATTCTGCTGTTAATTTATTGCAGCTCATGATTTTTATTTAACAGTATTTTAGATTTAGAATAGTTATTGTGGTTTAAAGCTAGTGGCATACATTACTCTCAATATTATTGTTTATTGTCTATATTTACTGCAGCAATATATTGAACTTCAGTTATTATTATTATTATTTTTATTTATTTATGTATTTATTTTTTTTACATGCCACTGTGTTTTCAAACTCTAAAAGGTAGCAATCATTGTAGCAATTAAGGACCCTTCATTTGAGAAATTCAGAAAAAAAAATTGACAAACTGATTTTTATTTTTCAGCTGACCTGTTGATTTTTAGAGTGCCAACCTTAACCCAAAATAATATGAACCACTTCCCGTAATTTCCTTAAATTAATCAAACCGGTTTGTTTGATTTTACTCCCACAAAAGGCATTCTTTAATGAGTCAGTATCTTCTGATCTCTTGTAGTTTTTGTTATCTTTTTTCTTTGTTCTGAACAATACTTGGATGATGATCAAAAATGCAGGTAGACTGTTTAGTTTCATTTATGAGAAAACTCCTGTTAGCTTTATGCAAGAATGGTTTACCTGTTCTGAATGCACTTTTTTCAGGCCCTTCTCTTCTATTTTGATATTTACAAATCACTATATTTATTAAAATTATACACTGGTCATGTTCACATGCACACTGAAATTTGCTTATTATCTGATTTCTGGATCTTAAATATTATTTACACACCATGCAAACTTCAAATTCAGATGGGAGTAATCAGAGGGACCGTGATTAGGAAGAAATCTGATGAATTTGCTGTTCACTTGTCTTTTTATTAATCTTATATTATGTTTGTTTTATGTAATTAGGTACAATTATACGCAAATAGGGTTGTCAAATGTATCAGAGAAAAAAAATTGATACTCATTGATACTAAAACTAGTATTGAAACTAGATACTCATTTGAGCAGATATCAGTACTAATACAATACTAAGTCACATTTGCAGGACTGTAATGAATCTTTCCTGAATAGTTTTAGAATGATCTTGAGCTGTATTTGAACAAGTATCAGAGCACATAGATTAGTATACGTCCATGAAGCATTATGCATCTGATTAATGCATTTATCGTTGTTTTTATGGCACACCGGTGAATTATTTTTACACACAAATCTAGCATTTTGTTGTGGCATACATTTCTTTGTTTGGCAGGGCAGAACATTCATAGGTCCTCACTGACAACACAGTCAATTTTCAACCTGGCTTCTGTCAAGTTAGTTTCAGTACCATGACACCAGTTTCAGCAGCAAAACCATCAGCCCCCTCAGCTATTCCATCTACCTCTTCTTAATCACTGTCTACTCCATCATAGGCCTTTCAAATGCTTTGTGGTATCACGTAATACAGCTCTAATAAAATCCAGGCGTTTCTGATTACAAATACCTAACTATAGGGGTGGAGTTTGAAGTGTGGATACCTGTTCAACATGAAAGGTTAAGTTTCGCACCTGTTATGTACTGTATATAGGGCCAGCTCTAGTCACCTGACCCAGCATGTGATCAGTCCCAATAAGAGAAACAAATTGGATTACAATTGTTGAATGGAATCTTTAGTACAAAACAGGTGTTGTTAAAAAAAAAACACTAAATCAATCTAAAAACCACTTCGGCGACATATACAAGGCCCACACATCACTCTTAGAAGGTAGAAAGCTCTAAAAAGTTGATTTTGCATGAGATGGGCCTTTTAAAGTGGTGTATTGGTTTACCACAGCCAAAAGCATTTACACTACAATTTATATATAAATAAAAACACAGAAAAACATAATATTTGCATCAGCACTGCAGACACGGAAGTATCATTGTAGGCACACATACAGATACAGATGGGACTGATGTCAACATTTTGAGCCTACAATGATACTTTCATGTCTGCAGTGCTGATGCAAAAATTATAGTCTTCTGTGTTTTTTATTTGTATATAAATTGTAAATAATGTAAATGCTTTTGGCTGTGGTAAACCAATACACCACTTTAAAGGGCCCATCTCATGCAAAATCAACTTTTTAGAGCTTTATTGTCATGTCTAGAGCAGAAGTAGGACCCAAAATGCAAAACTGCATTTCTAAAGTTGTTTAATGAACAAACACAAAATCCAAAACAGACATGAGAGTCACAATGACAATGAACCAACAAAAGGCACAGGAGAACACAGGGTATATATGCACAGATATGAATGAGACACAGGTGAGACACATTAGGGCGGGGCAAACAATTAATACAACAGGAAGTCAAAACACACACGGCTAGAGAAATACAAAATAAAACCGGGTCAAGAACAGAAAATTAATTCAAGGAAAATTAACACCATGACATTTATACCTTCTAAGAGTGATGTGTGGGCCTTGTATCGCCTTGTGTCGCCAAAGTGTTTTTTAGATTGATTCAGCATTTTTTTAACAAATTGCAATGTATTTCTGCCACCCTCCCATGTGACAACGAACTAAAGCTGCTACAACAATGACGCGACAGCTACATCCTATGACACATTTGACGTAGCAGAAAGCACTTCACAACCGCCTCCCTCCACCGCCCCGCCCCGCCTCCACCCCGCATCGGCTGACAATTTCCACATGAACACCTAAACAAAAGCGACAGCATAAGCTAATTGTTATACACTGCAGGGTACATGATATAATAAGTTTATCTACTAGCGCCTCCAAGTCCTCGTCCGATTCCCGGTCCAACACATGCGGCTGAACGCTCTGTATCTCCATGATGAATAAAAGTTTATTCCTACCACTATCAGGGTGCACGCCTGTCTCCCCTCCCTCCCTGAGATGGGCGGAGGAAGGGCGGCTCACTCAGAGCCTACGACACATTTGGAGGGCAGGGGGATGAGCAATAGTCGACCTTTCATAGTTCCTGGTCTGTGGCTGCCTCCAAGAAATCTGTAAGATTTCATAATTATTGTGTAAAGGATGTTCCAAAACCCAAATTGTGCTTGTATATGTGCATATGTGAAAAGAGTTATTTTGCATGAGATGGGCCCTTTAAAACAGAGTGAACACCTGTTTTGTATTAAAGATGTCTTAAGAAGGGCGAAACGTCACACTGAAATAAAAATTTGGGAGCTTCAAAGAACTGCAATGCGGATCTCTTTCTTTTTTTTGCACAATTTTTGTTCTTTGACCCAGCACACAGATGTACTGATACCTGTTAGACCAATCACACTGTCCCCACTGTCCAGTTCACCAGCTCTGTTTGAATTTTGATTGAATTTTGGTTGTGTTAGTTCCATTTCAAGGTTAAGGTACACTTTATTGTCCCCGTAGAGAAATTTTTTCTCTGCATTTGACCCATCCTTCAATGTGACTGTTCAGGCCATTTAAGCCATCCCTTTGTTTTGATATTTGTTACACTGAACTCAGTTGCGCTAAACATTAACTGCTAAAATAATCTGTACATTTCAGAGCGTGACTGTAGAGGTCTAAACTTCAAAGTTATTGTGATTTGATAAGTGCACTAATTTAGATTACAATTTTGATGTAGTTGTGTTTTGGTGATATTTTTATAAATTCATCTGTACTTGTTATTCTTGTTAAGGCCCACTGTAAGTCCTAAAGATCATTGGCTCTCAAACTGGTAGTATACACAGCCTTCTTTTGGTTTTCTAGTTCTAATCTAAACTCGTTGTTGAATTGTGTTGAATTTAGAGTCAGTATTATTCATGTATATTTACTCCTATGGATTATTGCTCATTTAATTAATACATTAAGTCACTTTAGGCATTAAACACTAGGTTAGAGCAGGTGCTAGGATGTTTCTGAGGAAAAAAACATATTATAGTGAAAATGTATGCCTTAATTTACAAGTCTAATAGTAAAAAACTCAGATTTAAAATATGTTTTTGCCTTTTAATAAAAACTTCATGTATTTTTCTGTCAGAGGGAGAATATGAGTGAGTTAGATGAGATGAATCAGATTTACTGAGACTTAGACAAACTTTATTGATGCACAAGGGAAATTATTTGGGCACAGTAGCTCACATGTCACAATATATTATAACAAAGAGCAAAAATATAAATGGTAATAATAAATTCAAAATAAGTAGCAAAAATAATCTTATTGTTATTGTGATATATAGTCTCTTGCTATATTAATAATAACTAATGCATTAGCCAACAGTGCAAAAGCTATATGTTTGCATTATCTTTTGCTGCATAGTTTAGTTTAAATTAGTAGTTTAAATAACTAGTACACCCTTACCAACACAAATTACAGCCTGATTCAAATTACAATTGTAATTAGATTTTGTTATATTTAGAGACATAAAAGACAATGCTGATAATTATTTCTGTGTACATGTGATGTGATTCAAAAAATAACTTCATTAAAATCCTTCACCTTCACCCATAATTCTTCATTAATCACCGTATTCTAATAGTACATTGTGTTTCTTGCATCTGCAGATGGTGTTTCTAGTTTTCGTCTGAAGGCAGAACTTGGTATTTGACACTTGATTTCTTGGCTTTGTAGAAGAAGACTCCACAGATCATC